TAAACCACTGAGCTGCCGAACTTGCTGACCGAAAGGTCGGTGGTTTGAATCAAGGGGCAGGTTGAGTTCCCACTGTTATTCCCAGCTTCTGCCAACCTAGCAGTTCAAAAACATGGAAATGTGAGTAGATCAATAGGTAATGCTCTGGTGGGAAGGTAATGGCGCTTCAAACAGTCATGCTGGCCGCTTGACCTTGGAGGTGGCTATGGACAACACCGGCTCTTCGGTTTAGTCATGGAGATGAGCACCAACCCCCAGAGATGGAAACGACTGGACTTAATGCGTAGATCAATAGGTAATGCTCTGGTGGGAAGGTAATGGCGCTTCAAGCAGTCAAGCTGGCCACTTGACCTTGGAGGTGGCTATGGACAACACCGGCTCTTCGGCTTAGACATGGAGATGAGCACCAACCCCCAGAGATGGAAACGACTGGACTTAATGCAAGGGGAAAATTTTTACCTTTAAAGATTGCTTACTTTCCTTTGCTTTAAAATAACTGTTAGCAAAGAAGGTTGCAATTCCTAATTTTTACGAACATTTGTACAATTTGATCTTTTGAAGGGAAAACGAGATCAAAATCTTCTTGGTGGGGATAAGAAATGCTGCCTTTCCTCCCACAAAAAAATGGAGATTCCTAATTTAATACAGATATTAACTACTTCTGTAAGAATTCAACGTGAACTTTGGAAAATGGAATAGTAATTTAAATACAGAAAACCTCAATGACTTGAAGAGGTTACTCTGAAATTATTCTCGAAATGCCAACAGAATAAAGTGTACAACTGGATGAACTAGTAAAGCTCTTTCTGAACAGGGCTGTTCTAAATTACAGATGGCACGGGAAGGGGAGGAGAAGTTATGTGTTTTAATACTTCTGAAAGATAGTAATACCATGTAGTCACATAAATGGCATGTCAAAGAAACTGGATATTCTAGTTTCTGCCACATAGGAAATTGTTGTTTGCTGTTTTGCTTTGTTAAAGCTACAGACTGAGGGATCACCTAACAGAACAACAGACATGTGGCTGTTATAACTCCTCTCAGCCTTCTCTTCTATAGGCTAAACATGCCCTGCTCTTTAAGCCACTCCTCATAGGGCTTGTTCTCCAGACTCTTGATCATTTCATTCACCGCTCTCTGGATACATTCCAGCCTGTCAACATCTCCCTTAAATTGTGGTGCCCATAATTGGACACAGTATTCCAGGTGTGGTCTGATTAGGACATGTAGACGATGTCCTAATCTGGTTTAGTGCTGTTATTGAAGTTTGTTGCCCTCCCTTCTTGAATTCCCAAAGTCACAAGTTTAAGAATAATTGAAAATTCAGCATTGGAATAATCAAGCCTGCCTTCCCAAATCTCAGGGTAATAATGGTCTTAGACGAAGTAGAGTTTTCCCCTCCAGATTATGGCTGAAGGGACCTGCCAGGTCATTTAAGTTCAACTCCCAAGCTAAAAATATATATTTTATTGTACCCACTTTTGCTACAGCAATCATGCAAAGTTTGCAAAAATGCTTTTCAAAACCCCCAAAGAGCAATGGTAAAGGAAATTTTAAAACAAACACTCCAAGCAAAATATATGTTTAATGACTAAAAAGCCGCAAACAACCTTCTGGCAAAGATCAGATAACTTTAAGCTGCTGAAAGACCATTTCTCATTAAAGCGGCTTCATATTTCTTTAAACATAGGGGAAAAGGGGAGTCCTTTATTGATACCTGGGCTGCTAGATGACAAATCGCAGCTACTTCCAGGAAATAACGACGTTTTACTTTTCATTTCACTGAGTTGTTTGCAGGGAATTAGAATTTGATACGCACTTCACATTCCAAGCACAGAAGTGATTTGTTTGAAATTAAATTATGGTTACCTGCATGAGTCATATCAGCTCCGTGGGGAAACATTAACTGCACAAACATGGGTTTGATCAGGAGGGAAATAAACATTTTGACAATGCTCTCTTTTTTCTTCAGCAGTGACACACCAGCCCTCCTCCACCTCCCACTCCCAAAGTTATGAAAGCTGGAAAATGGCAAAGCAGCAAAAGATCATGTCAGCACAGGATCACGTATATTTCTGATGATATACGATATAATCTTATGTTCTGTGGTGTTTTCAACACAGGAAATTGGTGCATTACATACAACCTAATTCAAAAATTCATTTTTCCTCCCAAAATCGGCGATAATGGAACAAGTCGTAATGGGCGTTTCTACATCAGCTTCGATGCTACAATGCCAAGATTAACCTATTTCTTAATTGTTGGCACCGGCTCAATCCAATGATAATATAAATGTCACCACTGCACTGGGTTAGGGAGAAAGAATGAGTCAGACCAAATATTGTGAAACTTGATGGCGCAGAGGGACACTTTGGTGAAGTGGCTCCTCTCCGAACTTTATTTCTCACCTCATTCTTCATCATTTTTATTTCAGAGCAAATCCATGTAAATCTGGGGCAGATCTTGTATTAGACATGCACAGGCCTACACCACTAATTTCCAGTTCCAGTTCCCAGATTCTTTCCCACTTCTACTCCTATAGCATGAGTCACATTTTAAAAAACTCTGGTTCTATTAATCTATGTTCTTATATGAAAATAAAGGCGATGCTAAATGAAGAAATACTTTTCTTACCTCTTGTGGCACAAAACAAAAAAGTGATTTTATATATTAATCAGTTTGATTCGCAAATAAAATGAACTGCTGGAGCAAGATCTTCCCAATATAAAAATTGAGGAGGGTCTTCCTGAATATTCAATTTCTATTCACAATAATATCGGCTCCAAATAGGTGGCAAAGGAGGCACCAATTTTTATTGCAGTAGCCACTTTCAATTTCCCAAATTTCAAGAAGTGATGCCTTCTTGGGAAATGAAAGGACTCTGTGTAGGATATTAGATTGGCCCTCCTCCCTCCTGACTTTCCAAAAAAGTGAAAAACCTGGCTCTTTGAACAAGCCTTTGGAAATGCAGTGTAACAGATAAGCATGGAACTATGAAAGACTGAATCATGGAACGGTTTAGATGATGCTACTAGAAAATGATATTAAGAGGAAGACATTGGTGATTATATCTTTTTAATGGTTTTTTAATGGATTTTATAATGTTGTTCTAAATGTTTTTAATTGCATATTATGACTATTATGGCATTGAATTGCTGCCAACGTGTAAGCTGCCTTGAGTCGCCTTCAGATAGAGGAAGGCAGGATAGAAATATCGTAAATAAATAAATATGTACAGGCTAGTACTATAAAATAAACAATAAAGTAAATAATAAATTTGGATTTGAAAATAAATTAAATAAAATGTGGACCTAGGGAAGCATGAGTGTGGTTGGAAGGAAGTGAACGCAGATTAACTGGACAGAGAGAACATGATCCTTGAAAAGGGAAAGTATGGAATAGACTGTGAAGATAATTCTGTTCGGTAGACTAGTCAATACATTTGTGCACAATATGTTTTAGCCATTTTCCTTTGGCCAATCTGGCTTCTTTGGTTGAGTCAAGTGGCCATAATGGCAAGGGCCCAGCCATCAGCGATTCCCGTCCATAACGGGATCATGTGGCAGCCAATAATGGCACCTCCTCCCCAATTCAGCATCACAGACTGGGAGTTGGGCACGTGTGGAAAGGTGGGTGGGGTGAATGCATGCGTGCTTAGGGGCTTGGAGAGTCACCTTTTGGCTTTTTTTTCTCCTCCCCTCCTCTCCTTCAGAAAATACTTCTAAAAGATAATTAGTATTAATAATAATAGTAATTCCAGAAAACAAAAAGAAAAGCCTCATTGTCAGAAAACTACTACTACTGTTATCTCTTCTCTAGTGTAGAAAGTAGAAACAGCTTTAAGGAAACATTAAACCCACAGAAAGGCGTGAGGGGGGAAAGGCATCACTCCAGACAGGGCAAAGAGAGGTCTTTTAAATAGAAGCCCATGGAGATAGCTCCAAGTTGATCACTCTTTCTTCCCTGGGAAGTGGGAACCCTCCTTAAAATGCTTTGGAAAGCTGCAGGGAGAGACCATGTGCACCTGTAGCGTCTGTCTCCTCTAGAGTAGAAAGAAACAACTTTAACAAAGCATTAAATTTGGTCTCCTCTACAGACAAAAGGGAAAGGATCACAGAAAGAGTGGTAATCCAGGTCTTAATGACGGATATAAGGATAAAAACAATGCCTAAAATAACAGGAAGGGGAGCCTGGGAAGTCCCCCTCATAATGGGCTGGATAGGGTGTTTTCTTAACCCGGTTGCTGAAATCCAGGCTACCTTGAAGGGAAGAGAGGAAAGGGTCCCAAGAACAGAAAGGGGAGCCTTGTAAGTTCCCTATTGCTGCCAATGGGCTGGATCTAGTCATATTTTTGGGTGAAGTTCGAAAAAGGCTATTTGGCTACCTACCCATTTTCGGGAGGTGCAGGAAAACGGATACAGGGTCTACTAGAATCCGGCCAGCAGAAACAGATCGAAGTTTAGACGAAATGCACAAGCTTACTAGTCAAGGGTTTAGAAAAAGAGTATATCTGTAGTGATCTGCATTAAGAATAGGCAATTGTGTTTACAAGTCTATACGAGATAACTTGTTATTTTACCTGCTTTTTAACAGAGATTTGTTTGTTGAACCACAACTTTTTATGACTGATTGATACAGTGGCATCTCATTAAATTAAATAGTCAATTTGAAAATGAATGAATCGTGCACACCCCAACTATGTACCACATTTCATCCTTGCTTTACAGGGACAAAGGTGCTGCCCATACATTTATCTCATCACCTACAAATACCTACTAACATTGCCTAAGCATTTTGGGACGGCCAAGACATCAAGGGTGATGTTCAGCTTGCAGACTCAGAACTTGATCTTTAAACTGAGAAAATAATAAGCATTATTCTATATTAATTATGTTATATATTGTTATGTACATACACATAATATGAAGCCAAACTGGAATGGTAGGTTTGCCATTTGCTCTCATACTGTTTTATAAAGCCTCCATTTCAAATTTACTCACAGCCATTTTCCCACTACGGTTGGCTTCTTCTCTCTCTGCCAGTGCCTTTAGAAAGTTGTCTTTCAGATCTTTTCCTGCACTTGACAGGATCCTAGAAAGGAAAAGATGAGACACAGTGTTTGTCTCCAAGACATTTCTACTTCTTTCTTCATCTGGAGAGCCTTCAAATTGGAATAAACCAAAACCTATACACAAGGAAATTAGATCTTTACAAATCCAGCAGCATGGTTCCAAGCCAAGATAACATTGAAAAGAACCACAGATCTAGAAAAGCATGATTTAAATTTGCTTTAAGATATTACATATTATTTTAGCATAACACTGTATTCTAACCAAGAGTTTTTAATCCCACTGCTAAACTTAAAGTCCTGTTACTCTGAGCAAGGAATTACTCATAATAGTATTATTTATATCCTACTTTATCTCTATAAAGAGAGACCCAAAGCAACCCACATTAAAACAAACTACAAAATCCATGTATTGATGTCACATATCTCTGTGTGAAAAAGTTACTTTAGTACACTTACACAATCAATCTATGCACTTCTCATACAAGCCCTGACCAACAAAACTGCCCACTTCCATAATAAACATTTACTTTTTTTCATTTTTGAACTGATTACATTTAGATATGGGATATTATATTGCAAATATGGATACATGCACAGCTGACCAAAATCACGTTTTGATTTCAGCTTGGAATGCAGTGAAAAATACTGAATAAGAAATGACAACATAAACAGAATTAAATAATCATGTTAATAGCATTTTTGAGGGCAAGGAATTTGAAGTGGAAAATTGACAAGATGTTTCATCCATTCCTAAATGTCACTTTTCTACTGAAAGCCCTTTTTGGACATAAAGAAAAAAGGGGAAAGACTGCTGGATAAAACCAAATGGTGATGAAAGTTCAATTTCCCCCATTGCTCTCTGTAGTAAAGTTAAAGGATATCTAGGCAGGGTGGACAACGAATCAATCCCACCGCTGCCACCAATATAGCGAGATTAAGGCTGACCCTATGTTAAATATGTCAATGACCGAATGTTCTTGGTAGTATAAGCCGCCACCACCTCAGAATTATTGGCCTGAGGAACCAAAGGTGTGAATGTTTTATAGGTAAGGAGTGTTTGAGCTCTTGATTCTTCTATTGTTTCTTCACTGGATGACTGGACTTCAAAATGGGTTTGGCAGAGTGAGTTCTGAGGAAACGGATAGATTGAGGCATACACCAGTTAAAAGTTAACTAGAAAGAGTTTATTGAACTTTATATTAACAACAACTCATAGAAATTAGTGGTACAGAAGCGTGATTCAGTTGCAGAAACTTGGTTACTTAAACAAATAGTTCCCCTGACAGAAAAGCTTTTAACAACTGTGAGACTCCTTAAACATACTGTTCTATCTTTAGACACAGTATCAGTTGAGAACAGACTCCTGTCTGCACAGGGCAATAAGCTCCCCTATACTGTCCCTAGTATAAGGAGACAAATCTTTCTTTTACTGGCCCTAACAACACAGTAAAAATCCTAGCCTTTGTCTCAGCCTATTCCCTAAACTTAAGGCTCACTAAAAGCTCTTCCTTTTCTGTCAGATCCCTACTCTAGCTTCCTCTCCTAAAAATCACTTCTTTCCCTGTCTGATGTTAAGACACTTCTCCCCCTCTGTCAAAAGCTGACAGCTCCTTTTCCCTCTCTCCACCGACTCCTCCCCCAATTGCTATACCCAATCAGGAGTCGGCTTGACTCCTCCTCCTGCTCTGCCTGCCTTCCAAGATGACAGCCACTGTCATGCAGGCTTCGGCCCTGTCGTCTCAAAGGTAGATTTCATTACACTCTCCCTCTTCTAACCACTCTGAATCCCAAGTGGGTTTCTGTTGTTAAGGTGTTCACTGTTCTTTTGCTACATTATTGCAATGTATGCATGCAGAGTGTTTGAGGATCGGGACATCCATGGGAATACCAAGGTGCTTGTTTATAAAGATATTGTCCTCACAACTCTGTTAGACACCTGCAAAAACATTGACTATCTACAGATGTAATACTCAACTCCTGGAATGATTCCATCAGTGTTGCCTCTGAAAAACCCTGCAAATGTATTGGGAAGACAGGTGGACAAATGTCAGCATTCTGGAAGAAGCAAAGACCACCAGCACTGAAGCGATGCTCCTGCACCATTAACTCCACTGGACTGGCCATGTTTTCCGAATGCCAGATCACCATCTCCCAAAACAGTTACTATACTCGCAACTCAAGAATGGAAAGTGGAATGTTGGTGGACAGAAAAAGAGATTTAAAGATGGGCTTAAAGTTAACCTTAAAAACTGTGGCATAGGCACCGAGAACTGGGAAGCCCTGGCTCTTGAGTGCTACAGATGGAGATCAGCTGTGACCAGGAGTGCTGCGGAATTGGAAAAGGCACAAACAGAGGGCAAAAGGGAGAAACGTGCCAAGCCAACCCTGACTGGGACCGCCTTCCACCTGGAAACCGATGTCCTCACTGCAGAAGAACATGCAGATCAAGAATAGGGCTCTAGAGCACGGGTCCTCAAACTTTTTAAACAGAGGGCCAGGTCACAGTCCCTCAAACTGTTGGAGGGCTGGATTATAATTTGAAAAAAAAATGTGAATGAATTCCTATGCACACTGCACATATCTTATTCATAGTGCAAAAAACACTTAAAAACAACACAATAACTAAAATGAAGAATAATTTTAACAAATATAAACTTATTAGTATTTGAATGGGAAGTGTGGGTCTGCTTTTGGCTGATGAGATAGGATTGTTGTTGTTGTTGTTGTATGCTTTCAAGTCATTTCAGACTTAGGTTGACCCTGAGTGAGGGCCAGGTAAATGACCTTGGAGGACCGTATCTGACCCTCAGCCCTTAGTTTGAGGACCCCTGCTCTAGAGTCACCTACTGTATGTATCCACTGCCAAGACCCTACACTTGGAGGACCATCATACTCTGACAACAAGGGACCGTCTAAGTAAGTAAGTACATGAATGTGCATGCCCTGCTTGTTCCGCCCTGGGATAATTAAGAAAATCACCCAAAAATCTAGTGAAAGTTTAGGGTTCATTTTTTAGCTATCTACATGATGGTACAAATCTTCCATAGCTGCATAATATTTTGGGAGAAAGCCAGGCCAGAGCACTGAGCCTGCATCAGCCCCCAGAAGTATATTATGTTCCGATACAGGAACAAGCTTTAAGCATTTCTAGAATTAGCCTGCAGATATCAGAACAGTACCTTTGATTCCTGAAATTGGAGTCATCTTGGTATGCCTTCTCTTCCTGAGGAATTCTTATATGGGTGTAGTATAGGTAAAGCAAACTTTCCCTTGTATTAATTTCTTTTTAAATTATGGATCTAAGTGGAGAAGTCAGCTAAAGGCTCAGAAATTCAGCCAATATGGGAATGTGTAAACAATACATTTCATAACTGCAACTGCATTTCGTAACTAAAAAGGATGGTGCATTTTAACATTATACTGCACAGAGGAAGAGAGAGAGAGACTAGTGGTGCAACTAACGGAGAGATATATGATTGTCCTTCCCCATTCACATTAATAACATATCCAGAGCTGAAACCCAGGAAAAGAATGCAGGAAAATGCATGCAAGGAAATTGTATAGACAAAGAGTAATTATCTTCAGAAGGAATATTTGGATAAAGGCATATAGGAACAGTCGAACTTCGTATTATTTATTTATACCATATTATTTTCATGGGGAAAGAAGCAATGGCAACTGTAAGAAGAAAACCAGTCGGGATTCTTTAGCCCCTGCCATGCATTCTCCTGTTTGACTAAGTTTATTTAACATTCAGCGACCTGAAAAAGCTTGTTAAAATAAATACCAAAAAGAAGTTATTTCCTCAAAAGAAGGAAAAAGAGGGGAAAGACTAGTTTTAAGTACTTCAAAAAAATCGGAGTGACACTTATTACTGGTATGCAAACACTCAATTATTCTATTGCTAAGTTGTTCACACAATCACACCCTTTCAGTGCAATATACAGAGGATGCTGATAAGAGAAAAATGGAAAGTTGTGTTTAATGATTAGCGAGGAAGTTATGCATTGCAATATATCACATTCAACACATAAAGTGCTTATGCTTCCCTTTCCTATAATTCATTTTCTTCTAATTATTAATTGAGGAACCTTAACTGTATTCTCATTCAGCCTAAAGAAAATGTTCCCAAGGAACAAAACAAACTAAGGTAGAACTGGTAGGAGAAGTGTAGATATATTTCATGGAAACGGGACATTGAGGGTTCAGACATTCAGAAGGCTTCTTGATAACTCGAACTAAAAATAATGAAAATGATCTAGGCTGTTGGGGACTACCATATATACTCGAGTATAATCCGAACCAAATATAAACTGAGGCACCTAATTTTACCACAAAAAACTGGGAAAACTTATTGACTCAAATATAAGCCGAGGGTGGGAAATGCAGTAGCTACTAGTAAATTTCAAAATAAAAATAGATACCAATAAAATGTTTTTGAATATTAAATGTTTCTGAATATTTATGTAAAACTGTAATTTAAGCTAAGACTGCCCAACTCTGATTAAATCATTATTCCAACCTTCTTTAATGTAAATATATGCATGTTTTGTTCCAATAGTCACCATAGTTTATTTTAACTATACATTTCGGGGGAATTGCTGTGTGTATATGAATAAGGAAAAGTGGGAAACACTGGTGCCAAGAGAGGAGGATAGGAAGGTAAACACTGCATTAAGAGAAGAAAGGAAGAAGAGCTGGGTTGCTGTGCCAAGAGGTGGGTCTGAAAGAAGCCCTTCTTTCAGACCCAACTTTCCTGCCAGGACCCTCACCCGAGTATAAGCCGAGGGGGGCTTTTTCAGTCTTAAAAAAGGCTGAAAAACTAGGCTTATACTCAAGCATATACAGTAAGTTTGTGAACTTAGATGCTATAGGTATCATCTTACGAAGTTAATGCTCCACCTTCCTCACCGCTTCAAATTACTAAGGAAGGCAGGTGATACATAAACTATATATAAACAAAATCATTTGCTTGTGTGGTTCCAGCATACATGCACTACTTTGAAATTAAGCCTCTGCT